TAGCCGTCTTGGCTCAGTGGATAGAGCGTCAGCCTGCGGACTGAAGGGTCCCAGGTTCGATTCCAGTCAAGGGCACATGCCTGGGTTGCGGGCTTGATCCCTAGTGTGGGGCAAGCAGGAGGCAGCCAATCAATGATTCTCTCTCATGATAGATGTTCCTATTTTTCTATCCCTCTCTCTTCCTCTCTGCAATCAATAAAAATATATTTTAAAAAAGAAAATCGAGACAATACCCTGTATAGACAATCAAAAAGAAGGGAATCTTAAACGCCCCCAGTTTCATCCACCCAGAGGGAACCACGTTGGCATGTGGGTCCATCTCTCTGCATCCCAGCTTTTTCTAGGCATCCCCACAAATACACGAGCACATACATGGAGGCATGGAGAGAGAGCGTGTTGGGCTTTTTATGTGTTGTGGGTGTTCTTCTGTATATATACCCTGGTATTTTACTTTCATAAATAACTTTTTTAAAATATATTTTATTGACTTTTTTACAGAGGAAGGGAGAATGGGATACAGAGAGGAAGGGAGAGAGATAGAGAGTTAGAAACATCAATGAGAGAGAAACATCGATCAGCTGCCTCCTGCACACTCCCTACTGGGGATGTGCCCGCAACCAAGGTACATGCCCTTGACCGGAATCGAACCTGGGACCCTTCAGTCCGCAGGCTGACGCTCTAGCCACTGAGCCAAACCGGTTTTGGCCATAAATAACTTTTTATATCAGAAAAAAAGGTTTGGGGCACACAGTGTAATATACAGATCCTGTAACATAGAAATCCACACCTATATGATAACCAATGTCCCCCCGATAGGTTTAATTTAAAAAAAGAACTTAATGGAGATACACTTCACATACAATACATTCACCTGTTTATTTTTTAAAATATATTTTTATTGATTTCAGAGAGGAAGGGAGAGAGAGAGAGAGTGAATCATTGATTAGAGAGAGAAACATCAATCAGCTGCCTCCTGCACTGTCCCTATTGGGGAGCGAGCCCCGCAACCTGGGATTAAGAATTGAACAG